GTCTTCCATATACAAAATGAGTTACTATTCATTTTACACCTGTCATATGCCAAGCTATCTAAAAATATTATCTCAAAATGTCCACAGTCCTGTAAGGTAGGAAATATTATTTTCCTTTTATAGAACAGGAACATTTTAGTCAGTGGTCTAATATCACACAACTAGGAAGGGGCTCAGTCAAAATATGGACCCCCGTCCTTCTGTTTATGGAGCCTGTGCCTTTTCTATATCATGATACAAGCAGCACATCAGGACCACTGAAAGAGCTAGAGTCCTTCCTCTGTTTTTTGTAACTGATCAGTTCAATTCTATTTAAGGTAACACTGAGCATCATTCTGTGTGGCAGAAGGCTGGGAAGATCTGGGAGAATTTCCTCAGCGACTCTCAGAGTACAGATGTCCTGGAGCTGCATCCGACCTCCTGGAGCTACCTAGGTCTGAACCCAACTCTGGTCTCATGGAAAATTCAAAGTTGATAAATTAATGAAATTCTTTTTGTTCTTGCAGTTCTTTCAGTAGGGAAAATGGCGAAGATGTTCAGTTTCATCCTTGTTGCCACTGTGGTGGTGATGGCCAGGGAAAGTTGGGTAAGCTTATTGTGAAAGCTATTATTGTATATATAATGCCTGCTTTGACTTGAATTTTCTTTTATTTTGCAGAAAACCCATAGTAACTTGCCACTGAAAAAACTTAACTAAGTGGGGAAAAGGAAAAAGGCTGGCAGAAGTACCTGGCAATAGTAGCACTTACCAAGTACTTAAATTTTTGTTTAAGTAAAAATCAGTATCCACAACAAATAAGCAAAATCTTTTTTTAATTCACTGGAGTCATTTGGCCAGTTATGTAATATTAGGAATTTAAAACTTTCCATAGTAATTAAAATTAGCTTTGGGCTTTCTAATATTGAACACTATTAGTGTAAACTAACCAGATTACCTGGAAGTAATTATAATGAACTCATGTCTTCCTCCATTCGTGAGTAAAAAAGACAAGATACTCATTTACTGAAGTTCTGGGAGAAGAAAACTCATAAGTTTTAAATAAGCTTATTAAGCCTTTATATGCAGTCTCATAAAGATTGGACATACTTAGCCTGTGATGCCTTCAGTTATTTTTAAATTACATAGTGCACTCACTGTGTGTAATAATATTGCAACAGATTTCCCACTGTTGTAAAGCAACACAGGATCCAGACACCATACAATGTTCTTGCTGTTCATTTTTTGGCTTGTGTGACTCAAAGGGCTAAGCAAATAGCTCTCTCAGAGAGGATAAATCAGTGATTAGGAGAGAGTACAAAGAGCAAATAACAAATAATCCTAGACAAATAGCTGGGGAGGTTCAGGGACTTGGACCTAGAGATGGGAGGAAGGGAGCCTCTGCCACCACTTTTCCATTGTTATATGACTTCCAGTCATATATTTTACTGTATTTTGAGGCTCAATTTCTATCCTCCTGAAATTTATAATATGAATTATAATCCTTTATAGGGAGGCAGTGTAGCTCTTCCCTTTGCCCAACATGGAATAGCTAATTGTGCTGTTCTGACTGCCTAGCAGAGTCCCTGGAACACAGTAGGTCCTCATATTGATGGAATGAATACAAGGTAGTACAGAAAGATAAGCATAGGAAGCTATGCAAATGTAAATTAGAAAATGTGTCTGACTATAATTGAATGACTTTTAGGAAATAATCTGTATAAAGGTAGAATAAGACAATTGCATATAAAAATTCATAATTTCCCAGAAGTAAACATTTATAGTTCACAGGAGATCATGTCATGAGTTGAAAATAGAGATGTCAAGGTAAAAATGGGAAAATGGTAAAAATTGGTCTTCAGCCCCTTTTTCACTATCCCTGATGGCTCTCCTGAAATTGCACCTTCTTGGCCTCAGTAACTAACTCTTCCTAGGAGACCCACCTCTGCAACTCTCCTTCCCGATTCCGCCACCAAATTTACTTTATCTTTAGAGAGCTCTGCTCAGACAGCTGGCACATTAGAGAGCAGCTGGTAAATTCTTTCACATGCAACACTCTCGGGTGATTTGCCTTTTCAAAAAAGATAAATGACTCCAGTCTCCTCCCATCCCTTTTTAAATAGCTGAGGGAAAAATAACAAAGAAATAGAAGTGAAAGTGACTCCAGCAGAATTTCCAGCAACAGATAAATGAGTAAGATACTCAGGGATAAGCGATCTATACTAGCATCGCTTATAAAAGTGCCATATGTCATCAGATTACATGCGTTAAATTATATTTTTAAAATATACTTACACCAAAAGGTCATTGAAAAACGTCATTTATCTTGGGTATTGACATAGTAAAGATACAATTCGCTTCTGTAAAGCACTTTACTGTTTATAAAACACACAAGTGGTATCATGTAGAGATTGAGAGCATGGTCCTTGAACTGGATTTAAATCCTGACTCCTCTTACCCAATGGGTGTTCATGAGGAGTCTTGTCATCAGGGTTGACCCCATTCCTACCTTACGGAATTATTATGAAGAGCGAATGAGACAACTAAAAAGCTATTAGCTCAGTGATTCTGATCATTTTATATTATTTAATTTCTTGAGTTCAGGACCTTTAGCATAAGCCATAATTTCTTCTTCTTCAAACAGCAAATCGTATGAGAACTTTCAAACCACTTTCTGGTTGAAATAATATTCTAAAATGGGAGATCAAATTGAATCATTGACCTATCTCAATTTTTAGCAGCATTTGTTTTCCATGAAAATGAAATGCACATTACTTCCTAGGCTGTCACGAACTGCGCCCAGGAGCAGGCGCGGCTCAGAGCCCAGGTGCGCCTGCTTGAGACCCGGGTCAAACAGCAACAGGTCAAGATCGCGCAGCTTTTGCATGAGAAGGAAGTCCAGCTCCTTGATGATGGGGCCGAGAATAACGTCATTGATCATGGAGGCAAGAGGCAGTACAGAATTCATTTTTCTTCAGTGTTTCAGTAACTTATATCATACACCCATGTGCAGTCATGGTGCTAGTTATTTACTCACTTCAGGTTTTGCTGAAGTGCTTTTCCTATTCCAGTAACAAGCATGAAATAGTATATCAATTTTAAATGTCTTCTACCGTACTTTATTCTCTCTGTTATCTCTTCAGGAGACATTTAATGTGAATGCTAAATATCTGAGAATTTCTATAGTTTAATAAGAAATCAGGACAATAGATTGTTTAAATAACAGTGTGCAAATGGCAGATTATAATTGTAAATTTTTACAGTTGAGCTTTGTGTTTATTTGCGCATCTTTCCTTGTTGCATTTATGCAGTTTTCCATTCTGAAATCCTAATGTGCCATCAGATGGCAACTAAGGTAATAGAATAAAAGGGCAGAAAGGGACAAAGAACCAGAATTATTAAGGAAAATAAGAGAGTAGTTTATATATGTATATTTTATGGTTTGGTAGTTTTCCTTTTGATTAGTTCAGTACATCTCCCCAGACACTAAATGATCTTAAACTATCAACTCATTATACACATCACTGCACATATCATTATTCTCTATAGAAAACTCTTCATTTGAAGAGAAAAAGAAAAACAATTGTTCACTTGACTTCCTCCGGAAGTAAAAGGCATCTTTTAGACTAAACAAACAATGACTGTCACAAAGATAATGCTATCTAGAGCACTTTGTTCATATGTGTACTTTAGCATACCATGATACATTATAATTTCCATTTATGAGTCTATCTGGGCCAATTAACTGGGCACTTTGTAAGGTCTGGGACGACATTTAATGCACTTTTACCTTCTTATCAGAAGTGCCTGGGACGTAATAGATCCTTATATTTATGAATGAAAGGAAGGTATTACATAAAGAGAGGAATAGCAAGATAGGCAAATATAAATTACATATCTAACTACAATGAAAAGACTGTAGAGATCAAAGCTTATGGGAATAAAAACATCTTTATTTTGTGTTTCTACATATATTCATTATAGGATATAAGAGTTGTGAGGACCTTAGAGCCTACGCTTCAGTAAAATGCTCCTTTATCTCTCTTTACCAAGATCCTAATCTCTTTCTGTTCAGACTCCTTGTCCTGGGCTCCTGACCCTCTGTTGACCATCATCTTTATCCTTTAACTTGAATGCCTGGAGTCCACTGCCCTCCCCCACGCCCTTAGGGACCAGAAGGAGGCCAGAGTCACTGGCCTGCAGTCGTGGGGATGAGTATAGGGTGAGGATGGCCTGTGCTCCTGGAGCATGGAACAAAGAGGAACCAGGGACCACTCAGATAAAAGCAGGCTTGGGAAACAAAGGGCTGTCCTTCAAGGGATGAGCTTACAGGTATGTGGTTGCAAAGGTAGGTCCAAAACTGATCTCAAGGTTGAGGAACCCCATGGATGCAAGTGAAGTTCCCTTATTCCAAATTACAAATCAAGCTCAAGACTCAGGGTGTCTCTTTAAACACAGTCGGAGCAGGTTGTCAATACAGATTCAAGGGTCAAGAATGGCAGGAGGCTGGCAGGTAGACATTTGTTACTGGGACTCTGCAACCAGTCATGGAAAGACTCAGGCTTAAGAGCTAAAAATCAAGTTCCTGTATTTAGGGAGCAGACCTTGGGAAACAAGAAATCACCAAGGAATAAGGCAAGAAATCAGTTACTAGGAAATTAAAACGCCAAGGTGAGAACAGGAGTTAGAAGAGTCAGATAGAGAAAGCCCAGACAAAACATTATATGATGTATTATAATAACACGACAGATGATAAGCATTCTGGATGACTGTTTCTGGGTATAACAGCTAAAAAAAATATCCAGAGGTCAGTAGATTTGCACTTAATATTCTTCACATATGGTGCAAACATGAAAGAGGGGAAGGAGGAATAAAATATAAAATATAAATACGATTCAATTGTACTCTGTTTTTCAGCATACAAATAGTAACTAGAGAGCCTACCAA